GAAAATTTAATGAATGAGTTCGCATTAAATGCTTCTCGAAGAAAATTGGGTTCCAGTGAAGACGCAATAAAACTTGCCGCCGCTTCACTCATTTTGGCGCACGTAACGATTTGTAGGATTGTTTTTCATTCAGTCGTCTGAGCACTTTCGCAATCATGGGAAATGGTCCATCCCATATTTTAAGAAGTCAGAAAAGGAATTATATATTTGTGATTTCTGTAATATCATGTTACTTTTTTGGAGGAGTCAATACCGTCATAAACCTATACCTAAACTAGAGGCCGGTAAACTTTACTTCAATACGTTGAATATTATGGAGCGAGTAGTCAAAATTGAGTTGATGCCATTTAGCAGTACCATCGACTTCTCTCTGACAAACAGCACATATTCCGTAAAGGACGGTCCTGCTTGACCAATTTGCTCTACTGTCTAGAACGATGTACCCGGGCACTTGATCAAGGAGATATGGTGCAGGCGGTTTTCGTTGACTTGAAGTCATTCGAAACTGGGCCTCATTAACTTTTCCTATACAAGCTGTATGGGGGTAAATGGTAATCTTTGCAATGGACCTAAAAGATTCTGACCCCCCCCCCGATCTCAGATCGTATGTCTTTGTGAACAGTGATCAGCGGAGGTGGCGGTTAAAAGTAAGGGATCCCGAGTTCCGTTTTCCCTTGAAACACCAGCCCCGCCAAATCCCCACCATGCTCCTTGGGGCATGGTGGGGATTTGACGGAGCTAGAGGGGGCACAGGCGCAGCTCAGGCGTGGCAATTCATCACTTTGCCCCCCGCTAACCCCCCCCCGTGCAAACAAATGCGCAGGGAGGGCGCTTATTTTCGCGATAATGCTAGCCCGGCCGTACAAATCTCTGGCTTTATCCACTGTCGATTAAGCTAGAACACAATACGATGGTTAAGGATGGCGGATAATTTATTGAAAAGGAAAATAATTTGGAAAATGTTTACAGCAAATAATATCGTTCGTCCTCCGATTTCACAGTTCATGGAAAGCATAGCTTTTGCCGTCCGCAGCTGGTTCCTACAATATTATAAACCTGTTGGTAAGTAAAATATACAGGTACTAAAGACGTTTGAACAAATCGGTATAAAAAAGCGTCACTTTAGTAATATATAGATACAGATAAGAGATGTTGAAACTTTTATGTTCGAGTCCATATAAAACAATACATATAGATGGGCACTTACACTACTTCCGTAGTCACATTTCTGCTGTGGTGTGGTTCCCGACTCTTCGAACGTAAGCACACGAAGCATTGCGTTTGCCATGTGCAGCCTGTTTCTGGAAAAGAAGGAATTGGTTGATTGGAGGTAAACTGGTACACATTGTAAAATTTGATAGCAAGGCTCATGAACAATTGTACGAGTTTTTTAAAGCAAATATTGCTTCAAAGTCGACTAAGAAAAGCAATTTGGGGGTTTATCCACAATCTTATCGGGAGATAAGGATAAATTACGAATGCA